TTTCACTCTTGTGTTTTTTAAGTGTTTTTGCTCTGTATTGGCAACTGTCTCGATTTTTCTTCTTCCTTTGATAAAGAACCTAAGTGTCTGTGTGTTTCAAGTTGTGAGACGTGAGTTAAATCATGTGCATAGGTCCAACATTTAAAATATCTGTTTTGTTGTTAACATGAACGCAAGAATATTCAGTCCTCCCGTAATGTTTATCCTCAGCATCCTACACTGATGACTCGCGTTGAACTGGGACTTGAGACTCTAAGAGTTCGCTGAAGCACATCGCTACCCGTGGTCTTTTGATCAAGAGGGGTACGAGACTAACCAGGCTTTGTGAGCATACAGGCGCTCTTACTGCAATTTGGTGCCAGATTTGTCGCTCCTCTCACGACTTCATACAGCTTGCGCAAATCTTAGTGGTTACGGACGCGCTTTTCTGGAAAAAACTCCAGCTATACAGTAACTAATAATTACTATCTTATATAACTCATAATTGAAGAGAAATCTAACTTTTGTTAGTTAATTACGGTTTTATGCTATTCTTATCATTTTGAACAAAGAGAGAGAGTCGAAATATCACCTCTTATGGTATTAGAAAAGAGAACGTACAGGGGATAGACATGCTTCCCTAAATAATCCTCCGCAAACAGTGCTTTAACAAGTACCAAGGTGCTCTTTCGAATATCTGCCATATTTAAAGGCGTGGCTGCACCGATCGACTCACGCTGTCCGCTATTTCAGTGCCGACTAGTGGAGCGTCATGATTCAGGGGAGATAAAAATAGGCATAGGGGATGTAAAGTGTGTTTGGTTTTACATCTCTCACATAGAACGCGATTTGAGTAACGGGAAGTTTGAGCAATGCCTTTCTTTAGAAGATGATGAAAATGAAGAGGGCACAATAAGTTAAACTTGAAAGGAAAGGGATTGAAAGCGTACATCGTTGTTTCACAAAATGGTGAAAATCAGGAGAAAAAGGAGCCTTTAAGACAGTTTTAAATGCTTACCACGAACTATAACTTGCACTGCATCTCTAAACCCCGGCTGAGGGAGATTATTTCTGAGGAAAGATACCTCGATTGAGTAGATGAAATCTGGCTCGTTGGCCACGGCTCCTAACAGAATTAGTGTAGCTGGAACTCTCGCACTGTAGCTTGAACGAAATTGCGGAAGAACAGAAAACGCCCCTCCGTTCCTGCTGCTTGCAATAACTACTGGTAAATCACCAGCACCCCTTTGCCTTCGAAATGTGACACCCCGAAGAATTTCGCCTCCTTCAGAGGTTCCTGCAATCAGAAATTTCCAGACAAGTTGCACGTAAGTGTTGTTCAGACCTTCAAACAGGATTGTTGGTTTCTCAGGCTGTTTTGTCCAATGGATTGCGTCTGCGGGAAAAAAAAAAATGTGTTATTTGATATGCCAGAACTACCATCGACAATGAAGATGTTATTCACTTTAGATAAATGAAGATTACTTGAAAACTCAGCTAAACTTACCAGATCGCTGTAACGAGGTGACAATCCAAAAAGCGGTCAAAACCCAACGAGCAACACTCCAGCGAGGTGTATTCATATTCACTGAAATAATGTTCGTGATGTTTGTAAATTCATAAAAAGTTTAATTAATGTATTGAGCCTTGCCATACATGTACAGTAGTAACTGTGAATGTTTGTCCCTCATTTAGAAGAAATCTATGCGGTAAAATATACTTACTAGCTGCGACAATTCCTCGGGCTGCTTAGGTAGATATGAGTAACGAAGTATTCTCGCAGTTTCTCTTATACCCAGTAGTACTCTGTCGGTTATAAACATTTACGTGGTCGGTTGTACGCACTACTCTGTCGGTTGTACGTACTACTCTGTCGGTTGTGACATTAACTCTATCAGTTGTATTTACTACTTTGTCTGTTGTCCGAACTACTACAGACGGTTGTAAATATTTACTCTGTCGGTTGTGAGCACTACTCTGTCGGTTGTGTACATTCTTCTGTGGGTTATGTACATTACTTTGGCGGTTGTACGCACTACTCTGTCAGTTGTACGCACTACTCTGTCGGTTGTACGCCCTACTCTGTCGGTTATGTGCATTACTCTGTCGGTTGTACGTACTACTCTGTCGGTTGCAAAGATTTACTCTGTCGGTTGTACGCACTACTTCGTCGGTTGTGTACATTACTCTGTCGGTTATGTACATTACTTTGTCGGTTGTACGCACTACTCTGTCATCTGTCGGTTGTGTACATTACTCTGTCGGTTATGTACACTACTTTGTCGGTTGTACGCACTACTCTGTCGGTTGTGTACGTTACTCTGTCAGTTGTACGCACTACTCTGTCGGTTGTACGCCCTACTCTGTCGGTTATGTGCATTACTCTGTCGGTTGTACGTACTACTCTGTCGGTTGCAAAGATTTACTCTGTCGGTTGTACGCACTAATCTGTCGGTTGTGTACATTACTCTGTCGGTTATGTACACTACTTTGTCGGTTGTAAGCACTACGCTGTTAGTTGTGTACATTACTCTGCCAGTTGTACGCACTACTCTGTCGGTTGTACGCACTACTGACTGTCAATGAGAATTTTGAAACAAATGGCGCAACACAGCAGCGTTGTTTTCAACTTTGATGTTTGCCGGCTTTCCTAATCAGTCTCCTCTACTAACTATGGTTTGAAATATTGCTTAGCTAATGATTGGTATATTTGTTTGGCATCAATTTTTATAGCGAATAAGGACGTGTAATTGGGCAGGCATTATATAAACAAAAAAACACGGCCCCCAATTAATGAAGAAATAGAATAGTGAAATCATCTGGTTAATAAACTCCGATCTTTCCTAGATGTGTGGTATGTGATGTGCCTTCTTGTATGCCACAATATCGAGGACACTATCAGATGATTGAGGATGTGCCCCTGGGACCCTGGAACCCTTAACCTATACCAGAGCTAGTTCAGCTGAATTTTGCTACCCTATACTAGAGTAAACTCCCCTAATCCCCCCTATCCTAGAGTAGCTGTTTTCCAGAAACTACTGAGGTGACTAGCACAGTCAAGCCAAAACAAAACCTTATACCACAATCCCTAGTCTAGATAAAATCTTCAACCAACTGATCAGTTTTATGAATCTAGATCCAAACGCTCTGATTTATATACCCTATCCCAGAGTAAACTGCTTGAAAACCATACCCTTCACAGCGGCACATACCTATATAGCCCATATATGGCAGTACCCCCCGTCTTTTCTGATTTTCTTCAACGTTTCTAATAGCGTTAATTCACTTGCTCTTACAGAAGTGTCAATGACTGTAACTTTAGGTGATTCAAAGCTTTAAAAAGAGAATCCTCCAACTTACTTTTCAATTGGAAATGAGCGGAAGTCCTAAGTAATCTAGGACTTGAAATCCTGTGCTCCCAGAGCCTCCTGGTCCTCGTGCTCAGGCCCCCTGGAGGGGTTAAGGACGAGAATGTGCTTAAACTCCCTAATCTCGTCCTCTCCCGTCCCGCTTGGTATAAGTCTACCTACCTCTATGAGGTCAACACAACTTAACGTGGGATCAGGCTCGGGTCTGTGGTAGGAAAAAAAGGCAAAAAACGGGCAGAAGATCTTCCCTATTTTCTTCCCCGCCCCAGGGCCCCGGGAGCCTCGAGATGTTTTCCGTCATTCTTTGCAAAATGCCATGTCTTGACTGAGTAACTGAGCTATCCACCATCTTTTCCACGAATGTCACTTCACGATGTCTCCTTTGAGCATCGTTTGGGTTAAAAATATTCAGCATTTATCACTAGACCTGGATCTGCACCCTGAGAAATGTCCACACCATAAAGCAGGTTGTTCGTTACCCTTCAGCCATGTTTTCTGCCCTTAAGAAGTGGGCTAAGGGCGGCAATGAGGATTCGAAGATCAGCACTCCTCTGGGAGTACGAGCCATGGGCCAGGCCTTACAACGAACGTTCGTTCGTGGCGTACAGTATAACAGTAAGTTTTGAGGTTTCTCTTCGTAACGTAATATCCCCAGAAGTCATTTTGGTTTAAAATGCACCCAACCGATTTTATTTAATTTCCCTTATAAACGCAAAAATTAGAGAAAACTAGCCCTATTTTGTTAACCACGATACAATACTCTATCAATGTAAAAAGTATCAGGGAAAACGAATTTTGAGCTGTGTCAGCGATTTCGTAATTATGTCCGATTCTTACTGACATTGACTCTTAAAACATCTGAACAGAACATCTTAGATTTTTAAATGATAATTTTTAAAAAAGATTTATACTCTTCGAATAACTACTCTTCCCTAACAGGAAACTGCCCAATACTCCAGAGAATATGACCTAGCCGAGTCTACATGTAGCTCAGTTGAGCCGCTTCGATATATTTGATCTTCAAAATTGCCTTTATTGCATATAGAAGCATCAATAGACTTGAAAAAGGCGCATGCGCATTTTTTAGTTGTTATTTCAAGATCCGTACGTTGACTGCGTTTGAAGAGGTCACCCGGATTTCTTTATGTAAATTTATTCTCAAGAAAAATCGTTCCACCAAGGAGGGAGGGGGCTTCATCAAGGCGGATAGTTGAGCCCACAAGCAAGTATGACGTCAAATCTTGTTTCAATGACTTTCAAAATGGCGACGAACGCTTAAACGTATTTTGAATAACACAGCAACAGAATTCGCGGATGTTTATCTAAGCCTCGCGGGGGTCCAATAACATGAAACTCTTTTAAAAACGGCTTCGCGCTTCGCTGTTTTTGCATTTCTTAGAGACGTCAGTATATGTTATAGTCTGCACAATTCCATGGAGCGCAGCAAGGTTAGAACTTCTGTGTAGGTCGTTGAGGGGGAAGGAGAGGGGCCGGTTAAAGTGAAAGAAGGGCTGATTCGAATGCGTAAAGGTTTAGCGTACCACAGGGTTTGGGAGTATGATATGCTCCTCGGGAAAATTTCAAATTAAAGTGTTCTGAATGGCTAAAAAATTATACTATCATCCCAATAAAGAAAAATTTTCAGTAATCCAGCATGAAATAATATGCTCTTTTTGAAATAGAAAATTACTTTGTTTCAGAGTTAAGTAAATTCCTTAGTTAGCCAAACTATTTCTTTAAGACAGATACGACTATAAGAAATACTCGCATTAGAAAACAAATGATTCGAAGATGAGTATAGTCGGACGAGATCGAGGGCGCTTTTTTGAGGGAGCTGGGGGAATCTCGTGCCGTTGTGGTCCTTGACTTCTTTACTTTCTTTGTAATTTTTCTTCGGTTATCACCGAGAAGTTGGCTCTATCTGCTTTGCCATCACTGACGATTCTTGGATCGAACATAATATTACGTTACAAGAGGTTTTGGGATTGGTGATTGCTCGAGATTCAATTGTGTTCAATCTTCTTTCATGGTTATAATTTTATCTAGACTTCAAATCCAAAAGTTGGCTCTTGCTCTTGGAGGGAGCCATATTCATCTCTTATGGTTTTAGCTTTCTAGCTTGCATTTCATTGACTGTCTAATACATAAACAAGTAATTGTGGGAAAGCACGTATTTTTCATTTTGTCTCTCAAACCAGAGAAATCTGCAAGATGGGTGTAGCATTCCCCCTTAACCTTGTACACCCACAGGCTGGTCAAAGGTCAAACATTGGGCTAACTGCAATGGTCACGTCATTAAGATGATGTTTATTACTTTAGTTATTTCTGGTATTTTTCAAAATTATAATTACTGCAGCCATAAACTAAAACAGCTCCTTATAGATACAAGGATTGCTGAAATTTGCCTCTTAAATTACTTTTGTAACTGCTGATGGTTATCATACCGAGAAAACACCTGTGGAAAAAAAGGAAAACAGATTTGAAAGTTGTCGAAAATTGTGTTTATCGTATGTTGGGTAACTTTCACAAAGTAAAATGACTAAAATCATCTTGATAATAAATGACGAAAGGGGTTTAAAATACTTTAACTGCAAAGAAGAATTCGTTTTAAAAACGTCGAAACTAAGGTCATCTAATTAACTGACCACATGGGCTTTGAGTGGCAGAGCCCCTTCCCCCGAAATCAAGGATGGCAGAATCGGAGTTTTCGTTTTCGCGCGGTTTTCCTTTCAAGAGGGTGATAAAATCTCTGTAGCTTCGCTGAAGCCATTGTGGTAACAATCCTTAAAGAAATTTAAAGCTATGGTAACTAAATTGATTATCATTTGTTAACTTACTTTAAGGAATTGACTTCCTTTGTTCTCTATGAATTAATTGCACTTCAACAAGTTAAGGTGAAAACCGAGCACACTGAAAGAGTACGCTTAATAATTGGCAAAATCACAGTGCATCCATCATTTCTTACCTTAGTTGTGATTATGGAGTAGCTTGAAACACTTCTCAAGGAAAGCCAAAATGACTGTAAACACACTTGAACGGAAACACGGACAAAGATCTCTTGTTTCCATATCCAAAGGGTACCACCACCTTGTTATGGAAGAATACTCTGTACCCGATGTTCCTGGTCAAACATGCAAGATAAAAATTCAGAGCTCCATAGTTGTTAACAGGAATCCGTGTTAAAAATAACAAATGTATTTCTCTCAAAACTAGGCTGACCCGTACGTAAAATCAAAGTTCCTAAAACGTTTGGAAAATATAAACTTCATTTTAGGGCAAAAAATCTCCGGAAGCTTCAGAGTGTTTTTGCCAGTTGTGTAGCAGGTTATTAAACTGTCATGTCCACTGTCATGTCTACATCTAACAAAATAAGATTTTTTTGACATATAATATATTTAACAGCGCTGAAATCAAAAGGGGACTTGTTGCTCACTAATTACCAATAATTACGTTATTGATCCGTATTTTCAGAGTTCATTTTTACCTTCGAACTGTTCCGCAGCCTTTCAGAGGAGCCTTTATTATAACACTCTTCTTGGTCAAATAATTCACACCACAGCTGGGATCGTTAAGATGAAGTAGACGGGGATCCGATCCCAAGGGCAAACTGTCACGTGATATGTGAGCCACCATGGCAGAGGGGAAGCATGAAATAGTAAAGGCAAACCTGGGTCCTAGGGAGTAAAAGAGTGATAAACAAGAAAAAATATTACGAATCCACGAAATCGTCGTTGTAAATCGTCTCGTGTAATTATCGCCTTAATTACAGGTATAACTTATTTCTCAAATGTATTATTTTAAGAATAAAATGCTAAAATAAATATTTCAGTATGTTGAAGTCGTTGTTAACTGGGTAACTGAGGAGATCAAAATTCAAAATGGAGGTTCTATGAAGTCATATGACGTCACAATCCAGTTTTCAGTGATTCACGTAACACTCTTAGCTTAAGCTTTGGGTGCTTCTAGCTTATCCTAGGGAGCATTTTTTTGCGTCATTTTCGCTGTCTTCGTTTTCATATTTGCTTCAGATTCCTAACATATTAAACAAGGCACTTTAGATCTGTCGGAGCATTATTCTTTTTTCTGCTTGACCAATAATTTGTATGAGTTTTAGATACTTACTCGTTGGTGAACGCCGAGTGGTGGGGATTACTAAAAAAAATTCGAAAAAGTAGAAATGAATTAAAATTTTGTGCTAATACAATGAACTAATTGTAATATAAGCACAAACGTGCTATTAGCACAAGGTTTAATTCGCAGGGTTTTGGGTGTAGCTAAGTTAATGGGATATGTTTGAAACGTCAATAGGAGAATAATGAGTTTGACATCAAAACATCTAATTGTTAGCTACAATGTGTTTAGACAGGTCGACAGTACATTTAGATGTCACCATGGGATGTTATTCGTTGAGTGCCAGCAAGAATAACCTTCGCCAAGAATGTGCGAGGTCTCAGGAATTATACTTCCGTTTAATTACAACCTCCAAAAATAACTTTACTTAAATGCCCTAAGATTCTTTCTCTGTCCAATTATACTCTCTTGTCTTCACCAAACTGGATGTTAAATTAATCAGCATTGTTTTCTTTTCCGCTTGACTGAATTAATATGATTTTACTTACTCCATGGTGAAGGCCAAAAGGTGGGCATTGCTGAAAAAAAATTAGATAAGGTAGAGCTGGATTAAAAATTGCTAATTTAAAACAGTGACCTAATTGTAATGGCACAGGCGTGTGAATAGCGCATTGGAGAGATAAATTCGCAGGTTTTTGGGATGTGGCTAAGCTAAAGGTCCTGTAACTCAAACTCTAACCCTTAAATCCAGACACTTTTATTTGCTACTTTGCCTGCAACCGCGTGAAATTAAACCCAGCGTTGTTATTGTTATGAAGGGAAGATGCACCTTTTATGTTAGAAACGTAAACAGGAGAATAATTGGTGGTTGAGCATTAGAAAACCCCACTGTTTATTGCAATGTGTTGAGATAAGCCGGCATATAAATGTCGCCGTGGGCGACAGGGGGGATGTTATTCCTTAACGTCCAGCAAGAAATAATCTTCACCAAATATATGTTTGTTAGAAACTTGTTTTATATAGCTAATGAAGGAGAAGAAAGAATACTCAAGTGTATAAGCATCCTTTCTCCGTTTAATCAACATTGTTTTCTTTTCGGCCGCGTTACTGATGATTTGTAATATATAGATTTAATCAAGGCTAAAGGCAAAGCTCTTGCACTTGGAATTGAATACTCGTAACTTGGATAACTTCATAAAAACACGTAACCTCGATGGGTCGACACCTCTGCCCGCGAAAAGGTCATCTGATACTGGTCAGTGCATACTCTGTTTTGACAGCAGTCAATTGACCACAACACGGATGTACAATATCAAGTTGCAGGCTCTCACACCAGCGAAAAAGTGTGAGATTTCACATTGTTGCCATGTGGTGTGGGCGGACGGGTGGATGGACTGACGACTGTACTGTCACGTGACTACCAAAACTTCTCGGACTGGATTGATAACCAAATTTGCTTTGCTCGCGCGCGCGTGGGACTCCACAATGATTTCACTCACCGGTGGGAGTTGCTGAAAACATCAGAGAAAGAAGAACTGATTTAACATTTTGTATTTAATACAATAAATATAGTTTAATAAGCACAAGCATGTTATTAGCATATTTTGGAGTGTGATGACTGAGCTAAAAGGTCCTGTAACTCAAACCCTTGAAGCCTTAAATCCCTACAGGTTCATTCTTCACCTGCACCTGCAAATGAAATCCAGCGTTCATATGGGGAAAATAGACCAATATCACGTTACAAATGAAACGTTAACAGGAGAGTCATTGGTTTGGCATTTAATAATCTTGGGTTAGACAGACCGACTGCACATGTTTAAGTTACCTGTGCTTCTGTTTTCCTATTATTCGCTTAAGTTTCAGCAAAGAATAATTTTAACACCAATTTTTTTTCTTCGTCATGGTTTCACTTACAAAAAGTGTCTTCTCACAAAATGATCTGCAATTCTAAAATAATGTACCTGTGAAGCATGCTTTATTGCACAAACTTGCAATTACCTGCTGTAGGTGAGACTGAACTTGCAGAGGGTAAAGGGATTGAATAGTCTGTTGAAACAACAACAAATCCTCATCAGTTATCAGCTTATGATTCTCTACTGAAGTCAAAGTGTGGAGGAACTGAAGGCCGAAGTTCCTTTTTTCGTGCTTGATATGTGCTCTAAACTTGTATTTTGCTCAATTTTGCCCACAACGGCTAAAAATTGTCAAGGTTGCTAGAACCGGCAAAAAATTGCTCAAAGGGTTCAGAGCACAATCAGGACAGGCCTAGTTTTACAATCAAACCAGGTCAAGCGCTCCCGTCGCTAACAAACTAATGAATTAATTAAAGGAAAATGATTTCGTTTGTTGATTCAATAATCCATTCATAAAATGAATAATCCAACAGTCAAATTGGACCTCGATTCAATAATCAAATGTTGATTTGGTTTATGAACAAAATCTACCTGTTCTTTATTCTTGTCTGTTGTGTTCAATCGTATTTGCTTCCTTTTTCCTGCCGTTTACGATTGCGTTTTTCATCGCCTTTAATCAAAATAACAGCTAGAATAGACAGATCGCAAACGCAAAGAAACTATGAGAAACTGACAAAGGCCGAGGATCGAAATCCACCAATCACCGCACATACACTGACCTTAGTTTGACCGTTGTGTTTTCTAAGAGGTCAGGCCTAGGTCTGTTGCACTGATTACTGGCAGCAAACTGGCGTTTGTTTGGGTTTGAACTTCAGAACTCGCCAGCACTCGACTCTCAGAAAAAAAAAGGTTGACTGTAACTCTTCGGTCGTTCCATATTCGGTGAATAGCCAATTAAGTTGTTCACCATGAATAAATATCATACTGCATCCTCACTGTGACCACAGTTATGAGAAGAGCGAGACCACAGATTGTCCAGCAAATCCTCGCTAATAATGAATAAGTGTATTCATTATTGACGTATAAAAAGTTGCGTTTTATTTACTGAGTTTAGGAAGTAAATTGACTATAATAATGAATAAAGCCTACCTATGAGTTTATGCACAGTTATATTTTTGCTTCTCATTACCTGAATACACCGTAAGTCAAATGAGAGAAAGTCCCATAAAGACCTTCATGACTGAATAAAAATTATAGGCTACTAGGCCGGTAATCTCTACAAATGTTTTAGTTATACATACACGGCCAAATCAAGGCATGCCATTTTTTGAAGCACTTTATGGCGCGATACATATTCAACGTGGAAATGCTTCGTGTCTTAACGGTGACGCTCGATTTCATCTCAGTCTCCCCAGCTTCAAGTCCCTCTTCGGGTCACTAGTTGAGGTTGTTCTTAGTTGTTCTCGGTTAGTGTTATCAGCCTCAGCCTCCGGCTTCGGCTGATAACACTTACCTCGACCTTGATTATTCCGGATATCACAAAAACCTCATCCAATAATTGTTTATTGTAAAGTAGTTTTAAACGTTAACAAGACGGGAGAGATAAACTCTCGACAACTAAGAACAACCTCAACTAGTCACCCGAAGAGGGACTTGAAGCTGGGGAGACTGAGATGAAATCGAGTTAGTGTTATCAGCCTCAGCCTTCGGCTTCGGCTGATAACACTTACCTCGACCTTGATTATTCCGGATATGACAAAAGCCGAATCTAATAATTGTTTTATTATACTTTATCTTCAAGTAATTTCTCAATTTCTTGCTGGGTGGATGAAGCGAATCGAGAAGCCATTCTTACTTCGCTGTCCGCGAACTTGACATTGCTGTCCGTGCACTTGACATTGCTCTTGGAAATCATGCATTGCGCGCGTAACCTACAGAATATACACTAATCTGTAGGAACAGATTAGTGAATAATCTGTAGGTTGCGCTGTTTCCCAGAATTCACTGTAGGCTTTTAGTCAATGAGAAGACAGATGGTGACTACAATGTATAATAATAAGAGTAAGCAGGAGCCCATCGAGTAAGTTATTATAAAAGCAGTTTTGCTTATTCTTACCACCATATACAGGAAGCGAAACAGAAGATACTGGAAATTGTGTAGAGGCTGCAATTAAATTTAAAAATATGAAGTGGCACGTGGAGAGCTAGTATTTGCAAACCGGTCACTAAATGGAAACCACCTCACGGTAATTTTTTGAGTTTAGCATCACTAACTTTGTTTGTCTGTCTAACCCTTAACATTTATACACCACAACCTAAAACCACTGTCTCTATCAGTATTTGTGTTACCCAATAAAGTTTGACTATTATTAACCAGTTATTATTTTAATTTGTTTGTGCGCTTTTGGACCAGATTACTAAACTTTAACTCAGGTTACAGTTATAAACAACATAAATTCTGAAACTAGCTTCATAAGTTGTGGGGTGCCTCAAGGTTCAATCCTCGGCCCTACTTTTTCTATTATACATTAATGATCACCCTTACTGTAACCTCCTATCGGATGTGAGAATGTACGCCGATGACACTAATCTCACGTTTGCCTCCAAAGACCCTAATGAGTTGTTTTCATCCCTGACTCATGATTTGGGCAATCTGAAGCAATGGCTCGATTCTAACCGTCTAAGTCTTAATGTCCTCAAGACTAAATGTCTGTTTACAGGCACGAGGCAAAAAATCTCTTTGCTCCCTAGCGATCCACTTTTATCCCTCGACGGGCATTCAATTGAAAGAGTCAATAGTTACAAATGCCCAGGCGTTCAGGTTGATGAAACACTCTCGTGGGAGGCTCACATCTCCGAAGTCAACGGTAAAGTTGCAAAAGTACTAGCTACCCTGAGGAGGCTAAGACCAATATGTCCCCAGAGTACCCTTGTCACTATTTACAAGTCATTGATTCTTCCGCATCTCGATTATTGCAGCGCTGTCTGGGGCTGTATCGGTGATGGTCTCCAAAAACTAGAGAAGCTTCAAAACAGGGCTGCACGCATAATTACAGGGTCTAGCTGGGATGCCAGCTCTGCCCCGATTCTTCATGCCCTTAAATGGGATAGCCTCGCTGACAGACGTGCTAAACAACTGAAATCTTTAATGTTTAAAACTGTGTACCCGAATACCTGTCTGATAAATTCGTCAGCATTAATACCATTCACAGGCATAATCTTCGAGGTG